TGTAAAAAATATTTTCATTAGCTACACATAAAATAATAATATTATTTTGTTTAATTTAGATATTCAAAATATTGATTAATAATGTTTAAATTTAAATGTTTTATGATTTATTGTGCACGTATTTACATTCTGATTATCACAAAATTATTTTTTTAAGTTTTCAAAAGTTTAGTAAGTAAATATCAGTATCTTATCGAATACCATTTAGTTTATCAAGAGGCACAAATAGATTTTTCGAGAAGTTCATGCGCAAATTTGTTATGTAAAATTGCACAAGATGTCCGAAGCTCTATTTACACGAAAATAAACAAAACTAATATTTTTATACACATTTACATATGACGCTTAACAATGGCTAAATTAATCAAACTCTATTCAACTGAAAATTAAGATTTGATTTACCTAAGAAAAGTATTTTTAATAGTTTAGTAGTTTTCTCTTCGTGCTGTATAAATAGAGATATAGCAATAGAAAGTTTATAAATATGCAAATTTTAAGAATCGTCAGGTCATCAAACAAATTTTCATAACTTTCCTATTTCTAATACCGAGATATATTATCCTTGAACAGCGCTTATTTTTTACAAGTTTTTACGTTCAAGTTAGATTTCTGACTAATGTCTTTTGCTCATTTCCTAAAAATGCGATTTCGGAAAATAACTTTATTATATACCGTTGTATTTAACATAAAATGCTCTTAAATTCATGTCCGTATAAAATTAAAAATTTTTTAAAATTAGGTGGAGGGGGTGAAGGGACACAAAAATATAACATTTTTTTAAAAATTCGAATACGTCTTTGTAAAGTGCATTTGCAGCCGTAAAACTTTTGTTTAAAACTTTTTTTTGATCTTATCTTTAACGATTCGATATTTACGGATGATATTTATTCATGAAAAAAACCGATTTTTTCAAGGGATGGTTTCATCCCCTTATATCATTATATTATATAATTATATATAATTAGATATAAACTTTTTTCCCAGCATAATAATTCTAACGATACGCGTCAAAACATAAGAAAAGCTTCGCACATTAATTATTTAACTAGGTATATTCCATTGAAAATTGTATAAAATGAAATTAAGAAACATGGTTATATATTAAAATTGTATATAGACAAAAGTTACGCAACATTTGGCGGAACATTTCATCGATGGTGAAAAGAGTCGGAAAAACAAATCTTTGCCTCGCGATTCGATAAATTGTCGTTGAAATCGATATTACGTCGGAGCATCTATATGGATATATCGTAGCGAATCTCCAAGTAAAGATACCATCTTTGAATACCATGCGACATCACAATTAGAAAATCAAAAGTTGGTCCTAAATAGTAAAATCAAAAAAGAAAAAACTAATCAAAGTTGACCAACATCAAAAAATAATCGAACATGGATGGCAATAATATATTAAAAAGAAGAATGTGATAATAAAGATGACTAGTGTCTTTAATTAGAGCCTGTAAAAGTGTCTTTAATTTTCCTCTCCATGTCGTATGAGCGGAGATATTACGATCCAAAGTCCGATTTCTAGACATTTACTTTTAAGAAACGTCATCGTTATTGTCATTATCATCGTCGCCGTCTGTATGGGCTACGGTTGCAATTTTTGCCACTACGAGTGCTATCAGTCAAGTTTTCTGAGTAATATGCTTATACGAGAATGTATAATTTCATGAACATTTCATAGCTTTTCTGTATATTTTCTCTCTTCCCGCAACTTCTGCGCATATCTCCGCATCTGTTCCGCAACTTTTCTGCATAGCTCTGCAGTAATTCCGCAATTCTTCTATAATCTTTACGCATATCTCCGCAATCATTCCGCAACTCTCTCACAAACTTTCCGAATATCTTCGCAATCATTCCGCAATTTCTAACCATTCAGCAGTTTATTAGCAACTTCTCCGCAATTCTTTCGTAATTTTTCCGCATATTTCCGCAATCATTCCGCAACCCCCCCCCCCTAATTTTTTTGCATACCTTCGCAATCTTTCCGCATATCACCGCAAACATTCCGCAACTTTATTACAATTTCCGTATATTTGCGCAACCATTCTGCAACTCCTCCATAAAAATCTTTTTATATATCTTCGCTTCCCTTTTGTAACTCTTCCGCAACATTTCCGCATATCATTGCAACTATTCCACAACTATTCCACAACTCTTCTACAATCTTTCCGCATATCTTTGTACCTTTCCCGCAATTCTTCCGCAACCTTTCCGTAACTATTCCATAATCATTCCGCAACTTTTTCGCACATCTCCGTAATCATTCCACAACTTTCTCGTAATCTTTCCGAAACTCTTCCGCAACCTTTCCATATATTTCCGCAACTTCCCGCATATCTTCACAACCATTCCGTAGTATCTTAGCAACTTTTCCGCGATTCTTTCGCAACTTTTTCGCTACATCTTCGCAATCATTCTGTAAATCTGTTGTAATCTTTTCGCATCTCCGTAACCATTTCGCATCTTTTTAGCAACTTTTCTGCAAATCTCTGTCACAATCTTTCCGCATATCTATGCAATCCGCAATTTCTCATATAATATTGTTACGACCGAGCGGTGTTCCGCTCGACGTTAC